TTGATAAATGTTCTAAAAATAATATTTTCTCGAAGTACATGAAACTTAAAACAAGAAATAAAAGTGGAGCAGCAGTTCAAGCAGTGAATACAGATTTAAAAAAATGGCTAACAACAGAGGAGAAAATCCAGTTCCACAAACGAGGAGTTTTAAATGTTTATCTGGAAGTAACCCATACAGAACTTTTATATAGACTTCATTATACAGAGTTCTTAGTTTAAGATAGAGACACAAGAGAAAAAGTACGTGATATAATACATAAAAAATATTTAACTCAAAAAAACTAAATTAAACAAATTACTTCTGAATAATAAAAAAACAAGAACTAAAACAACTAAGAATAACTTTTCAGAACAAAAATTTTATACCAAATTTATAAATTTGACTAATGTTAATTTCTCTCAGGAAGAAACTAACTTGTTAGAAAAGGGTTTTAAATACAATTTAAACAATAATAACATGAATACGTCTTTGGAGATTTTAGGAGACTGAAATAGCACTTAAAGATAACTTAAATAATTTAAGCCTAAAACATCTTGCTTCTAATCTCATAAAAAATGAATCTTTAAATGATAATAAACAAAAACTAGAATTTCCTGTAATACAACAAATTAAATCAAAATCCAAAGAAATTATTTTTACAAAAGCAGATAAAGGAAATACTGTTATAGCTATAAGTAAAATCGATTATATACCAAAAACCATAGACTTTTTAAACCCTATAAATTATAGTTTAACAAATACAGGCCCTACTAATAGTTTTCAAAATTCATTAAAAGCAATAATAAAAAATTGTAAAAGTAGGTTTATAGATAGAGACAGATGGAAATTATTACTTATGAACCCTCAAGCTCCTAAACTTTATTCATTAATAAAACTTTATAAAATAGGTAACCCTATTAGACCTGCTGTTTCTTTCTTTTCAGCTCCTTCTTATAAAATTTCTAAAACCTTAATTAATATTATTTCAACTCAAACTCTATTTTCTGCAAAATACTCTATAAAAAACACTTATGAACTGGTAGAAAAAATTAAACATATTAGATTACCAAAAAACTCTAAATTTATTTCATTTGATGTTAGCAATCTTTAGTATACCTATTGAAGACGTTATTAAACTTGTTGAAAAACTCTTAATTAAAAACAGTATAAATATTGGTAAAAAAAAGAAATTATCATCGTTTTGAAAGAATGCCTTAGACAAAATTATTTTGAATTTGATAATAAATTATACACTAGCAAAGTTGGACTTATAATGGGGCATCCACTAAGCCCTATTTTATCTGAAATATTCATGGATTTTATTGAATCACAAATTAACAAGCATTCAAATTTTAAAAAATTTCTCTACTGGCATAGATATGTTGACGATATTCTAACTTGTTTTACTGGAACAGACAGACAATTAGATATTTTCATAGACTTTATTAATAAAATCCACCCTAACATAAAATTTACCATAGAAAAAGAACTAAATATTTCGATAAATTTTCTAGATTTAACCATCAAAAACATAAACGAAAAACATTAATTTTCAATATTTCATAAGCCTACTCATACTGATACAGTTATACACAATACTTCTTGTGATCCTATCCAACACAAATTACTGCTTTTAACAGTATGATATACCGATTAATAACATTTCCTATAAATAATGTCAACTTCCAAAAAGAATTAAACTTAATTAAACAAATTGCTATCGATAATGGCTATTCTTCCAAATTAATAGATGATATTTTAAACAAAAAAACTTTACAAAAATGCCATTAATTTAGTATACCCTAACAAATTACAAAATAATAATAATTATAAAACAAGCTAGCAATAAATTTAACAAATTTCTTAGCAAAAAAGATATAAATGTTGCTTTCAAAACTAACAATACAATAGGCATTCATTTAAGAAATTATAAATTTGAAACTAAAATATGTGATAAATCTGGAGTTTATAAATTATCTTGTAAAGATTATCCCAAAGTATATATATAGGACAAACAGGTAGAAATTTTGGTATTAGAGTTAAAGAACATCACAACAGTTTCAATAAAAAGAAAACAGACTCAAATTATGCAAATTATCTTATAGAATCAAATCATAATTTCAATAATGAATTTAAAATGTTGCATAATGAAAACAAAGGCATAAAATTAAATCTTCTCGAAGCTCTAGGAATAAACAAACTTAAAAATTTAGACTGTTTACTAAACGACCAATTAGATTTGAACAATTCACCACTTTTAAATTCATTTATATAATACCTATTTGGATTAACATAAAATTAAACCAGCTTTTACCTTTTTCATATTTGACAATTTCACTTTTATGTCTAACATAAAATAATTACCATCGTTCCGATGAAGCTACAGTGTAGCGAAATATGTTAATTTCAATAAATTAATTAGTGCAAATATATAAGTGAATAAATTTACTTAAAAATCTTTTCTAACCCTATTATTGTCCTATTTTAATTTTGCTGATTATTTATATGGACCTTTTCTGGATTCTCTTGATTAAAAGAGAGTTCAGAAAGTGCAACACTCTTGTCTCAGACTGATATTTGGCATAAGGATAAAGAATATCGTATAAATTGCCCAAATTGGGGTGGCTTAATATGGCTGGTCGGCGTGTCATGCATTCTGCTGTATTTTTCTACCAAATTATAAAATTTAAATGCCCTCCATTCCTTCATCAGAAAATAAAATTTCGGACTGACGTACATAATGTAAATATTCGTAGGTTGAACCTTCTAACAATACCATCTCATAGAACTGATATATCCAAGAAATCCTTTTCCTACCAGTTGAATAAAATAAATACAAAGTAATGGACTATTTTTTATCAGTGTCCTATTTCAGAAAAAGAATCAAAGCCATGTAGATCCTAAATGATTGAGCATGTAAGCTTCCTCTTAGGTGTATTCTGTAGGTACAGGTGCTATCAGCGCGTAGTAATAAAGAACCTATTCAACTTCTCTTGGGCTCTAGTAGCTGCCTCCCTTTTTGAGGCGAGCGGATTCAGCCTTCTATTCCACATTTATGTTACACACTGAAGCTCATTGTGGATTATTGTACATCATTTGCATGGACTCTACTCCTTCCCAGTTATACTAGAGTGTAAATGGTCAGCCTTATCATGCATCCCCCACCCTAAGATGGTCCGATTCGCAATCCATGGTCGGCCATTCAGACTCCACCGACATCACGCAAGCCTGAGAAAGTCCTTCCACATCCTCTCGCCAATTCAACGAGCCGGTTAAACACCACAAACAGCCATGCTCTAGCCGGGATTCGAACTCGGGAACTGCAGCATTGTAACGTTTAAAGTTACTTGTCCCTTTTTCTTTCAAATTTCACTTTATATAACCCTTTTTAATGTTGACAGTCGTTTAACTAGCATTAAAAAAATGCAGGGTTCCCGCTACTTATTATATAGCAATTATTAAATTATTACACAAGAGGGCACGATTTTCATTTAAATTTGACGCACCGCCGCCTGGATTTTGGGCTGGAGTCCGCAAGTTCCATGTGTGGTTCCCTTTGTCAAGTGACCGAGGATGAATGGCTTCCGTGCTCTACCTTTTGTTGGAATGGAGGCTTGTATTACGTTTCTCTAATAACTTCTAATACCTTTTCTTTTATTAAATAAGTTTTATAGTCAATTAACAAATTTAGGATAATTTTTTTATGATTTTCATGCAACATTTAAACTCTCTGATTCTTGACACGATGGTGGAGAATTAGCTTTCAATTTATCGAATTCATTATGGATTTGTCTTTGCATAACTTTCAATATTGCCTTATATTTTATCATTTTTATCATTAATAATCGATAAGTAATCTGAAAAAAGGTCAAGGTTGGACAACATATTCTGAATTTAAAATTGATGAGGCTACCGTCAAAAATTGATCAATTTTTAACCCTGGGTCCTACGACTTATATATTTGAGGATTTCCATTATATCTCCAGACCATTTAACGGTTATATAGCAGCCCAACTTTCGATTTTTTTCAGGTACAATTTGATTTTATTAAATTAATTTTTTTGCGGAAGCTGACCATATTTATCAATACAATTTTCAATCATTTATTTTTTTCATAATTAATTTTCTGGAAGCTCAAATCTTAATATGTTTCTTCCAAATTGATGATATGGCCAGCGACTGTTAATGAACTTATAAGGCAAGTATATTATGGCGCATTGTTATTATGCTATTATTATTATTATTTTTTTTTTTGAGCTTGACGAATCTGATTAAAAGTCAACCTCTTTTATTTGATTTGATCTAAGGTGTTTTACCAACAAATAGTGATTTCATATTTTGAAATAATTCAATGCTGAATTTTTTACTGACTGTGAAAAAATATACTATTTTAATTTGAAATTTTAGTTAATTGTTTTATTGGTTTACCTATACGTCAAGATTTGAGTTGTGTGCATTATTTGTTTCTTTTTCAGAATTGCCTATTTCCATTTGCTGATTATTTTCTAGGTGTGTTTCTGAATTTTCACCCTTCCATATTTTAAGCGATTTTATTATTATTATTATTTTTTCAAATCAGTGGCGCCCTTGCCATTCTGTACTGATTAAACTATCAACAAACACCTGATAGTTTTTCGCTAAGCAAACCGAGCATATTATAGGCCTCTTGTTAAATCATTAACAAAAGAGGTGCGAAGCAGATACACTAACTACTACACTGCCTAGGTCGGCATGTTACACATTTAAACAAGTAAATTTTTTTTTTTAAATATATCTTTTTTTTTATTATTATTACTATTATTATCCTTTTTTATAGTATTTCCTAAACATTTGCCACTCTTTGGATTTCTCTTTTCAACTGACTGGCCTATCGGTGATAGACAGCGTTTAACATTTCAATCTGTATTATTCCAATTCCGCGGGCATTGAAAGCTTAACTTATGGCCAAGATACATAAATAGCTATTTAAAAAAAAATTAATATATTGTATAATGTTATATTTTTCGCTGCTTCTACGTCTAATTTTTCTTAATTTCCGTGACTGGATCGTAAACATCCGAATCGATCTGTGATGGGGTTGTCACCGAAATCAGCGAGGGTGGAAGTGCATCCGTATCGCCGGGCTTGACTAAAGCCACTCCGTCATTTCCCATCCTCATACAATCAAAATGCAGAACCAGAATCGTAGCTTTTTCGATGCGAGTTTCGAAATCCAAACACATATGCAAGTTCTGTCCCGGAGTATATATGTCGAATAATTTTGCACACGTCTCTACCTGGATGGGAATGTAAGGAATGGGCAGCGGGATGCATAGTGGCGGCGGATTTTTCGCTGAAACAAGTAAAAATCTGTTACAGACAAAGTAAAAAGGATTGCTTTGATAAATGAAATTTACATTCTAAAAATGTTTGCAATAAAATGAATTCTGAGTTTTCCACAAGGAGTAGGGACATCAGTAAAACAAAAATTAGGCAAGTTGAGATTGGTCGTGTTGTTTCATGCTTATTACACAAAATTACTTTTATTGTCAACGCTCGCATTTCTTTTGGAAAGGTTTCTAGCAATCATATTACTCTTTGTACCTTGTTGTTGGAGACCGGACTTTTTTCGCTGCAGAAAAAAAGAAAAATATAAATTTTTGTCAAGAAACAGGAAAAATTTGGATACAAAATTAAACCTACCTAACAAAAAAGAAAAATGATAATACTTATATTTCTTTAGAGGTTGAGCATTGAAAATTTTCAATAATTTTCGAAAAATTTATACGAATATGTAGTTGCTACTAACCCAAAATCCGAGCAAATTGCGTTTTTTTTTTTTTCGAATCTCAACGCTGCCGATTTTTGGAAAATTCATCCCAAACAGACTGATCCAGATTGAATTACGGAACGGCCTTAATTCACCACTACTACTACTGCTAACGACTCGGATGATAAAGATTGGTCTGTTGTGAATTACGAAAGCAACTTATATCAGTAGGAAAAATCTCCTACCCAAGTTAACCTGCAAAATAGTGTGGTTTTGCATAAATCATCCACTATAATATTTTTGTTGGAGTAGCTTTCGAAAATATTCCTATCCAGAGACAAGAGGTAAAAAAAAAACAGCTTTGAATAACAAAATAGCACCTGTAACCAAGGTTACAGGGATGCAAAGAATAAAATCAAATTTGTAAGTAATTTTATTTTCAATGTAGGGTTAACTTTGTCATACTTCAAGAGTCATTAAGATGCATACCTAAGCCCAAAGCCTTATTAAGCAAAGTCCTTTCAATACTTTGTTTCTAGATAAAATTTGGTTCATAATTTTGATCTAATTAAACGCAATCACTATTAAAGATGTGGGAAAGTGGAAATAAATGATAATAATAATAAATTTCGAGAAGCTGACTTCGTTATAAACCCTGAAATATTAATTAAATGATATTATGATATAATTAAATGTTTAATAAGTATTATGATGGATTGCAAAGTAGGTATATCACGGGGTGGGTATATTTTAAACTTAATTTTGAACTGGGACTTTAAAAAATAATTTAGAGATTTTCATTAGTGGCACAAGGTTGTGTCCTCATGAGAGGATATCTAATTATTATAGAGCTCATGAAAACTTTGGCAAGAAACTAGATGATAACCTTCTTTGGAAAACCAATTCGAACAAAATGTTTTTAATTGTAAAACATCTATCACATCACTGTAAATGATGTTTACATGTTTCTAAGTCAGTAATAAAAAGAGAACTTGTTCCGTGTCTTACTCCAGAAAGTCTCTGGGAAAGACTCTGTATAGATTTCACCGGTTCAATAAAAGAATGTCATTCAAGATGCCCGTTTCACGTTGCCAATAGTATTTAGGGGTTCGAACAGTAAAACAATTGCCAGGAAAGTAAAATTGTTCTTAGTGATGGAAAACCCTCGGGAAAACCTAACAAGTATAGTATCTGATAATGCAAGTGTATTTGTTAGAAGATACAATTTTAAAACTTGTTGTACAGCAATTCATCGTCGAATGGACTAGGCGACCATTCCGCTGTTGAGGTTGTTCCAAAGGAATCAAGAATTGATGCTGTCACTATATATCTCATCCCTAATTTCCTCTAATCCAAGAAGTCTCCTCCTGAACTGTGGAAGATATCTGGAATCAATTTCGGATTTTATCGAAACCATTGATAGCTTTAATAAAGAAAAATGGATCATAGGCAAGTGATCGAAAAGGTCGTATAGAATATTGTATGGAACAATAAAAAAAAATGAATTTGAACTTATTGTCACGGATTCTGGGTTCACTAAAACTCACTTCACAAACAGTAACAACTTTTATTAAACAAATACACTTTTCGAAATATACACAACAAATCTTGAATTTTTAAACTGAACTCAGACCTACTATGCCCTATTTATAGTCGAAAATTCTTAGAATTTTGGCCCGGCTGTCGATGCTTTTCCGTAGGATTTATATTAATTAGATCTCAAACAAATATCAATATCTTTTAGTTAATTCTTAAAATGTATCACCTTTATTTAGTTTTATACAATTTTATGCATCGTTCCTCGTAACTCCAGTTTTTGACAATGTACCTATGTTATGTATGTATTTGTATTTAACTAATCATTGCATTACATTTTTAGAAGTTTCAGGAAGGTGGATTTTATTGCGAAAAAAAATAGTTTGAATACAAAACTTACTACTTGAAGTAGATAACAAGGAAATATGAGACGTATGACAAAAATTACATTACCTATTCGAATTCAAATACTGCTTAGGTAAACGTATTATTAAATTTGCGTTCACGTACATTTTAATCTCGATAATTAAGTAAACTTACTGAACGGAGCTTCAAAAATTACTGTCGAAATTCAATCAAGACTCTAGTTTATTCCATTGGCGATTTTTAATTTTGTCAAACAACTAGATAGAGCCGTAGTTGAATCGTTAATCAAGAATTAAAAATGGAATCAATTAGTCGAACTGGTTCTTTAATAAAATAGTCCAATAGGGTTGTTAACGTCAAATAAAACATAAAAGGAACCTCCTCAAAACTGAAAGTCAACAATACATAGTTAATACATCCATTCTCAAATAGAACTGATATAAAATAAACATTTCCAGTTCACCATTTTTCTTCTGTTTGTTTGTGTTCCTATTTTCTTTCCGGCATCTTTCGTGTCTGTATATTTTAGAGAAAATACAGAATATTTTTCCTGACAAAGAATTAGTGTATTTGATTAACTATGTATTGTTTTAATTTATTATATTTTTGCACCGCGGCCTATGAAACTTGAAAAGAAAAAAATATAAAGTTGATTCTCTTCACGTATCAGTTGTTTTTCCTGTGTTTCACGACTGTAAGCTGCTGGAAAAAATTAGTGCAAAAATATTTTTTGATTTCCATTATAATGCAGAGTGCTTATTTAGAGAAGTTATTAATTGAAATTCCTGATGTAGGTACCTCGATGAACTAGTTATTTTTCAAATACAAAAATGATATTCCTATTCCAATATTCTATAACGAGAACAGTTCCTATACTATTTCACAAAGGTTGTACACTAATAATTGTTCAGTTTTTCTTATAATTTATTTTATTATAACAACAACTTGTATTTTTGTATTTCTAAGATAAAGATAAGCAATGCCTTAGATCCCTACGCATTGAAGTCTTATGCTTTGGATTATAAAATAAATGCAGTTCCACTAAGTACCAGTAAGGATATTGTTTGCTATTTAGTCCTAACCCACAATGTTGAGTTAAATAAATGTCATACAAATTCATCCTTCGCTTCTCAATACTCAGGGCAATGTAAGGGACTTGTTAGAATAAATTTAAAAAAAAAGAATACGCTGAAGCAAAAATAGATATTGAGAAGTAAGGTGCACTATTAAGTACTCGGTATATGAATTAAAATTGAAGTAGACTGAACCATTAATGCACGTCGTAGGTAAATATAAAAACGTTGCACTTGGTTAAAGTATATCAAGATGAGAAAGTATACTAATAAAGATTCCATTTCAACCAACTCACTTATGAAAAAAAAACCTACAAAAATTTGAAGCAGATCAAAATTAAAAAAAAAAAACAAAATTTATTAACTGGCTTGAAATTCGTTATTTGGAAAGCTGGAGAGGAAAGTTTATGAATATTGCTAATCGATGTGTTCATTTCTATTCAATCAACTAATCATATTGTTGAATATGATTTGAATAGTTATTTTAATTATCACTTTTAAACACTAAATCAATTCATAATGCAACTCCGTCACCAAAATCTAGCAGGCACCTAGGAAGTTTTGCACAACCAACCGCAAATGTCCCCTCAGAGTATTATCTTCGCAAATGCATTAGTTATAAACTCAATTTAATAGTTTATTAGTGACGCAGTTGAGTTTCAGATTATTAAGGATAGGACCGCTTGGCACAGATAATACTCTGAAGGGGGTATTTTTAATTAGTAACAACTTCCTGGGCATACTTGGTTTCAAATTATATCGTTTGACTTTATTAACCTGAATCATCTGATTGAACCCCATTGTTTAGGTTGTAAAAAACTCAAGACATAAATGCGCCCAACGGCGGACTTCACTTGGACTTCTTTTCTTTTCAAGGCATATTGAATTCAAATAATATAAAATAGGAAATTTATGTAAAAGGTGAAATATTAACGGTCGGAACTGCCTGAATATGTTGCAAATTTACGGGTTGCTACTCTAGGCATTAACGTTTTATAGCAGTCAAAGAAAAATCTTGAGATATTCTATACCTTCCTGATATTGACATGAATTTGAGTGTAGCGTTCAATAAATTTCTGATAGGGATTTTGAGACAATTTTATTAGTTGACCTCTCCCACAGGTAATTCACTCGGAAACTACTTCCTTCTTCGGTCTACTAGAATGGGCTCTTTCAGTAATTTCTGAAATTTGCATAATTGGGTAAGGCAACTAAGAATAGAATTTTCTGCATTCTTACTTTTGAAAAATTTATGGACCTTTCTGGAAAATAGATAAAAATGAAAACTCTCTAAATAAAAACACCGTATTTATCCGCTCTACGTCACAGCTTGCAGTGTTGCCACTAATTCTCAGCATTGAAAATTTTTAATTTAATTCTGAAATGTTGGCAAAATACAAAGAAAAATAGTTGAATTAATTACTTAGAGATTCAAAAATTCATAATATTTTTTTTTTTTTAATTACATATTATCATACACAATTTAAATTTATTTTTTGTAAACAGTTTTAACTTTTTTTCTCGTGACGCGCTAAATTTAGTCATAGCTGGCAATAGCGCAATCAAAGCTCTTAGCCAGCTTCCACGGGAGCTGTACGTGCTTTGTCG